GGCGCGATGATCGATGTCCCAGTGCAGCATGGGGCCACTGCAATCAATGGCGCCGACGTGCTGCCCAGGCCCACAGCCCCTGGGAAAACAGGCGGCCGCGTGGGCACGGCAGCGAGCCGCTCCGCCGCGCGGCCGCGAACGCGCGGAGCGACGCGTGGCAGCAGCGGCGTGCGAAGGACACGGTCCGAGTCCGAGGCTGTCGGGGAGTAGATCCGTTTCCCAAGGACCAAAGAGGTCGGAAGTTGGAGTGATCTGGGACGTGTGGATGTGCTGGGCGAGCAAGATGGAATGCTGCCAGAAGTTGTGTTGAAAGAGTTCTGAGCCCATCTTCTAACATCTCATAGCCCCGGGAGCTCTGCCAGTGAAAAATGCCCAGGGCAAGAAAAAAGCGATGATCTTGGAGTGGATAGACCCCCAACACCAACTCCTGGCTCCAAGTCCAAGTCCAAGGAAATACATTGTTTTTTGCGAACTCCCGCACAAAGAACCACTTGTCACTTGTGAAGACTGAGCCAGTTGTATATCAATCAGAACCGCCCCAGAAGTAAAACAAGTTCTGCAGTGTTCAGCAACTTGCCAGCCGGGGAACTTGTTGTGATGAGTGCAGCAGAACTGCTTCTTGGCGTTGTTCCACCTGGCGCCCCCGTGGCGGCGACACCGGAACCTGCCCCAGTCTGCCCGGCCCCGTCGGCCTTTTTCTCCATGAGTCCATGAGGCGACCCCACTTGATGAGGCCCAAACGGTCGAATTCGCGAGCGTTGCTTCGCGACCTCCGACCTTGTCGACCCGGCTGCCCCCCCGTCGAAGCTCCGGGTGTCGTGCACCTCTGCTGCCAGTCCCCGAAGCCGTCATTGCAATCGAAGCCCGCCATGGCCCCCTGGGTTCGCCGGCCGTTTGGGTTCGCCGTCGGTTCGCCCGGGCGGAAAGAAGGGGAGGCCCTCTGGGAACGTCGGGCTGCTCGCGATGGATGGCACAAAATCGACCAACAGCAGGGCTACCGGTGTTGGGAGATCCACCCCACCAAGGCAGAAATGTCGACGCCGATCTCACACAGAAACCTCATGGACCGAGCAAACTGCACGGGGCTTGATGTAGCATCTTGATAAAGCTTACCATAAACTACCCAATTGCCTCATATGGGGGGAATCAAATATAAACAATCGTTCACATGAACGGACCCAACGGAAGGACGGCATGGCGCCTCGTCGATCTGCGACTGCCCGCGGAAGCCAAAGACCGGTGCAGTGGTCAGCCACAACCTTGAACGGAGGAGCCCGGTGATCCGCGTCGTCCCCACATGGCTTGATCCGGATGGGTCGAATGGGAAGCAACCCAAAACAGCCAAGTCTTCCACCTCACAACCCTTGAACCAACCTTCAACGTGCAGAACGAACCATTCAACGTGCGGAGCCAAGGTTCATCAAGTTGAAACGATGGCTCGGTTTCTCTTGGATCAGGTTTCTGACTGCTTTGGAGCAGCCATGGTGTCTGATGCTCTCCGCAGAGGTGAATTCCTGGCTTTACACTAGAAAAGAGCACTCGAACATACAATTAACCAAGAAACCACACCAAGAACATCGTTACCAAAACCAAAACCCACCTGTTCCTACATAGGCGAAGACCCTTCTGGCTCGAGACTGGGCTTCGTCGACTCACAGTCCAAGCCACAACAGGCCCACAAAGAGCCCCAAGACCAACAAGCAGCAGAGCACCTGCCACGGGGTCCCCGAAGTCGAACGACGTGCCGCAGCCACGGCGCAACGACGTGGCCGGGGGCAGCAACCCGTCACCCCCCCTGGATGCCCGCGGTGGTCGGGGGTGAAAAGCAGGGAAGCCACGCAGGAAGCCACGGAAAGGAGCCAATGGAACAATGACACTGGGAGGAGTTGAGTGGCTTGGGTGACCTGCTTCGCAGGACACCCTATGAAGCCTTCTTCACAGAGCGATCTTCCTTGCTAGTGGTCCACCCTGGATTCTGACTGACTTGAAAGATTCTAAGATCTAAAACACTTGGACATTCATTCGTGCACCGAACACCATTGTCACCCAGTGGTCACGGAAACTCATGGGCTCAACGCTCAACCTGTGGTGTCTCCAGTCCACAAGACTTTTGGAGCAAATGGCGTTCCAACAAAAGTGCGACTTGGAAACACCGTCCTTTTGATTTGGGGCCGGCAGGGTCTGAGTCGGCATCTCCATCCATCCACGGTCCGAGTCTGGTCACTCCGGTGCCTGGCAGCAGGTGTTGCAACCTCGGTCGTCAAGGCGATCCAAATCCAGGTCATTCCCCTGCCCTTGATGGTTGGCTGAATGGGAGGGACCCTGGACTTGCTGGGGATGGCATGTACCACTATGCCAATATGCACCAACACCTTCTATACTTCGAAGGCATAGGAGGGAACCTAGCTGCGATGGCCAGGTTCCCTCGTAGCTGCGACGGGGCCGCACCTCCATCCTCCAGAGCCTCTGAAAACAGATGTGCGGATCTTGGACGCCCAACATATACTTTTTATATATTTTTTTTTTTAGCTCAATATCAGAAAGACCTGGAAGGTACCTGGAAGATTTGGGACATAGACCAGTCTACCCACGGGGGGCAGGGAGGTCTTCTAAATGAAAAGATCACTGCCAACTGAGTACCCCGTCGCGAGGAGATCGAAGCCGGAACTGTGCACCAGCTAAAGCGGGTGATGCTTTAGAAAGGTTCTACACTCTCCAATGGTTGGCATAATCCACACACAGAACCTGAGCATAATGCAGCATAGCAGCACAAAAATGAAGAACACATAACAAAACTTGAGGCCGAGGGTTGGTGACGAAAGCTAGCAGGGCAGGGTGAAGCGGGGGATATCCGACCGAGAAAGGGGTCCAAATCCTGCCGCCACAGAGTGGGGGCCCCGCCCCTATATATGAAGGTTTCACACGATGCGGCGCTCTCGAGGATTCCAGCCCTTTAAGGTTTCCTTGATTTGCTGCAGATGACACAAGGATCCATCCATCCCCAGAAACATCCACCCAAGCAGCGCATCTCCGTGCGAGGGTGCACCTTCTCATAGTCCCCACCGGGAGTCGGTTTGTACCTCGGCCGACCGGGCCCGACACGGCCCGACACGGGGCCCATCACGGTGAAAAGAAGAGAAAGAAAACAGCTCCCAGAAAATGCGAAGAATGGCGTAGGATGAGAAAAACAAAACCTGAGGGAGAGGAAGAAAACCTCTCCCAGATGACTTGATTGACTAGCTGACTAGCCCAGGAGAAGGATGGCCAAACTCTTCAAAGTGATCTGAGGAAACAAACATCCATGGCACTTTGATGTCACCCTCGCCATACCTGCAGCCCTGCCAGACGCTTAAGAAAACTGCAGCCTAAAACGCATCGCAGACCTCGACCGAACGAAGATCCGTCTCCGCTGGACGGTCCGAACGTGAGACCCGGAGCCCGCCGGCTCGAGTGGCAAACGAGTGGCTCGCAGTGCAGGGCATAGTTTCCGGTGCCCATCTGCACCTTTTGATACTTCCCTTCTTCAATCACTTCCTTCCGCGGGGCAAAGACAAGCAGCTGAGAGCAGGAGTGCAGCAGCTGCAGGAGCTTCCATCTGGGGGGGTTGCTATGCACCAGCCATGTTGGTTCAGTTACAGTACTTCTTCGTGTTGGCTGCGAAAAATAGATCGCTCCACATGGCATACATCCTTCGCCAGCGAGGAGTAAGAGGGAGGAGCCACCAAAAAGCCTGCCAGTACATGGGGTCTATTTGTTCACACACCGATTTTGCGACTCCCATGTACCCGAAGACTCTGACACATCAGCTGATCCAAATATCCCATATACTCCACCCATGTCTCCATGTCCGCATCGCCCCGTCGACCCTGCCCACCCCATCGACCCCAACCCAACGACCACAGTGCGGCCGGTGGATGTTCAGCCTCATCGAAGCACACCTTGCTACAGTCGCCCATGATTTCAGGCGCCTCACCGACGCCGGACCGACCGGGGTGAAGCCGTTGGCCCCCCTCTCTCCGATCAAGAAGCGGGACACACGGACGGCGATTCGCCGTATTTTTGGCTCAAGTGGATCAAGGTCTGAGATGGTTTTACATGTTCATGTAGACTGTTGATGAATGAAAACTCCCCAATGTGAAGAAAGAGGTCTTAACTGTTTGACCATCCAAGATCTATAGCGTTCCCCTCCCACTCCCAAGCCCCAAGCCTCGCCCCCCCTCTTCCACCCGGGAAACGGGGAAGAGGTGTTTTCGACGTCCCCAGACCACCAAACAGCGGGGGGCGAGGCCGCGTTGGAACAGCGGGGGGGCGAGGCCGCGCAAGGAAACGATCTCCTCATTCTTCGAGAGAAGGGGTATCTCAAGCTGAAGGCCAAAGCAAGCATATGGAAGAAATGGAAGGACCTCCAAAAGAAGTTCAACAGCAGCGAATTGACTTGACTGCCTTCACCTGGAGTCCAACACGTACCTCCTTCAACCTACCTCCTTGGTTCGATTCGATTCGACGCCGAGACCGGCGTTTGTGGCAGATCCGAGCCGGTCCGCCTTGGATCCGCGAAGGGTCGAGAAATCTCTGAGCCAACTCTGCAGGTCGAGATCGGCGTCCGTGGCAGATGCCGGCGTCCGTGGCAGGGAGGGGGGTCCTTTTGGGTCGGAAGGAGTTCGAAGGGGTTCCTGTTTGGTCGGCAGGTCCGAAGGAACCTGCTTCTAAGAGAAGTAGGTAGGGCCAGGCCCAGGCCGGACCTTTCCATTGACGAGTTGGGGGCACCGAAGGAGCAGAGCAAATCAGATGTTTATCCAAAGGCCATGACCTTTGTGCTCCCACAGCTCTCACACTGGAACCCGTTCACAGATGAAGCCTTAGAAATGTTCACCACTTTTTATTTCAGACCGGTGACCACTCTATCAGTCTTGCTCCATTCTGAAGACCCGTCTTTGTTCGGCCGAAGATGGTGCTCGGCCACCGAAGTCGACCCACCAAGACCGCTGGGTGCCCCGTACATTCGCCATCTTGAGCTCAAAAGCTTGGGAGAAAAGCTCCAGCGCCTGCGTCCTAGAATGGACGCCGGAACGGACGCCAGTTTGGCCTGACGCAGGTGTGTGAGACGACCGCCCGGTCGTCTGGGGGAAGGTCCTGAAGCAATGAAAACCAAGTGGTGATGTTGCGATGTTGTCAAAGGAGATGACGTTTATGTATCACTGAAATTAGATTTTTGAGATCCGTCCACTCAAGCCGCAGGCACGGGTTTCCTGCAGCTCGCAATCGTTCTTGGCGATGCGTTCAGTGAACTGAAGAGGAAGCGTATAAACCTAGTAGGAATATGTAGGAATCTTCTTCGGGAGCACAAGAAACTCCAGCTGGCACATGGAACAACGGTCCTTGCGCTCGAGCTATTCTTTGGACCGGTGCACCACTGGGACCAGCATGGGGTGCAGATCTTCGGCACTGGCGTTTTAAACGGTGCTTTCGAACGAGGAAGCCCCATGAGTTGGAACCAACCCGCTTCCTCCAAAGAGTTCAAGGACCCAAAAAGGCACACGAAGGTCATCCCCCTTCGAAAACGACCTAGTCCTACTTTTTTAGAGGAAATTCGCACAGGGATCAAAGGTCCGGATCCCTGTTTTAAGATGACCAGACATCCCCAGGATCTGGCACCAGGGTCTCCCCGTTTCGACACACGACCAGGGCGGCGTCTCGGAGCCGCGATGGTCCACGCGCCGGTCCAGGCAAAGGCCCGCTCGCAGGCGGCCATCGCAGCGTTGAAGCACCTGACTTTGGACGTACGTTCGTGGAGAGCGCCCCAAAAACACGAAGACTTTACAAAGAAGCACCAAAAGTCAACATCAAAGGCAAACCACCAAGGTCACTGAATTTCCGGGGACAAATTGCTGTAATCTTTGAAATGTCCATTGCCACAAACTAAATACAAAATACCATTATATTCCAGGTCCAAACAAAAACGGAAACACTGGAATCGGAGTTCATCGCGAAGCAGGTACAGCAAGAGCGCACTCCATGGGCCAGAGATGATCGAGAAACTAGGAGCACTCCTACCAGCAACAGGTGCCCAGAAACCACCAGCAACAGGGCCCAAAACAGCCTGTTTGGGGGGCGCTCCTAGGAATGTCATAAATGGCTGAAGATATAAATGATAATAATAACAATAACTTTAAATAACCGTCATAAATTTTATATGACTTTATTTCAGTATGATATTTGTCATGGATCAGGAAATCGAGGATGTACAATCTCATAAAGACAACTTACGACATCTCCCTCGATTTCCAGGATTCTTTCTTACCTTTAGGATTCTTCTTATTGGTGGATTTGAATGAGACCCTGTCATGCACTCCAGTGTAGGCGAACCAAAGCCCTTGAAGCTGCTGCTGAACCCACCGCACACGATCTCAACTTGGCGAAAAAGGTGCCCGAAACGGACAACCATTGTGATTTCGGTGGCCTGTGATTTGGGGGGGGGAGGGGTGCAGCATGTAGCAGCAACCTGCAGCTCACAACTGCGCTCTGGTGGGCCAAACCCAGCACACAACGCTCTACCGTTCTCCAAGCTGCACGATATTCGGTTGAACAGCCTGCGGGTCGAACGCCATGGGGGTCTGATCAACCGCCTAGTATAGGACAGGTTGGATGAAATTCCGGACCGCCCTGTTCACCGGGGTGCCTCAAGGCTCAAGGGTTTGGTAAACCTTGTGGAGAACCATATGTGCAGCTACAGGCTGGGTCTGTGCCACCATTTTTGAGGTCAAAGGTAGTATGCTCGTGTATGCTCCTTCAGCGGAAATTGGGATTGATGGCTCATAAGGGTTTGATATGCCTCATTCCCACCAACAAGTAGCATCAAATCTACGGCAACACCTGTAGAATGAGACCGAGTCCAGCATCATGATGGCCCCGTGTTCCGTGTATCGCCGGAATCAGCCAAGGCAACGTGTACCTCTGCGTCTTGGACCCTATCTGGGTGTGGACCCAGGCCTTGACACTTTCTGGACATGATGGGTGAACGTGGATGGCATGGTCTCGACTTCGGATGACCATGACATCCGAAAAGCAAATAGGTGGTTTTAGTGATTTTCCACTACAGTACAATTTCAGAGAGTGTAAAGCATATCAAACCCCTGTCGGACTACGCTTTGTCAATCATCCATACCACTTCTTCTCGCAATCACATCTCTGCTCCTTGGAAGCCGTTTCTCTCATCCTTGCATGTTCCCAAACACCATGCTTTTGCACATCAAAACGCCTCCTTCTGCCGCATCTCTACCAGCAGCTGCAGCGCCAAGGTCCACAAATGATGACGCGCACATGCCTGGGAATCCAGAAGGAGACTGCCACAGATCTTGTGACCAAAGGTTCTCAAGACATCCTAGGTGCACGATCTGCCAAGGATTCATCCGGTTTTGCCTGGCTGCTCCACGGATTCATTCACGTGGATTCGATCCTCGAAAAGAGGATCCAGCGGAGCCATTGAAAATCCATCGAAACTGACATCGGGTCGCACCACCTCTATTCGACTTGGAGCTCGTTTCACCCTGGTATAGTTGACCTCCTCCTTAGCAGTCTATTCTGTTCATTGGCCGTGGGACAACCAGGGCCCCGCCCCGGTGCCTTGCGTCCCCACCATCGATCGTCACGCCGCTGGACACATCGGACCTTCATGACTGACACTAGAAGTGGTTAAGAAATCGCAAAGGTGCCATACCATCCAAACCATGATGCTTGGAGAGACCCATCACCCCATCTCCCCCTCCTCTTTCCACCCAGCGGCCCCGATGCCAGCGCCCCAGTAGCGGACCTCCAGCGGCTTGGCCTCCAGAGCAGATTGAAGACTTGGAAGACTTGGGGTCGAGGATCCTAAGATTCTAAGACTGAGAAAGAAGGGCAGTGCTCTCGCTACCTCACCGACACACAAAAATGGACAACCCTACACTTATAGGATCTTATAGGTCACCATTGGACACCCATTGGAAGCGCGTCAAGGAGTTTCTTCTGCACGACTCAATAGGTCCGTCCAGGCAGTCCCGTCCCCTTCGTCCCGAGAAAACCAGGAGCGTCGCTGTTGGAGGGAACCCGGCCTCGCGCAAGTGCCTCAGGGCCTCGCGCCACTGGGTCTCTTCAGAGGATCCCAAGGCTTGGAGCTCTTCCTGGCGAGGCTGGACGAGCAAAACCGGACATTCCTGGCGGGGCCAGAGAACCATGCCAGATGGGACACAAGGAGAATCTCCACACAAAGCACAAAGAAGTCACATGGGCGCGCCAGTGACCCAGGATTTTGATCGTTCATCCTGCAGGTGTAGGGGAGCAGTCTGCCTTTTGACCTCCCAGGGCAGGTGACTATCTTCAAGAGCTGGCTGCGGCCACCCAAGAGAAGCGAATGCTACATCATCTCATAATCACTCATATATTTGCTTGGTATCAAAGCCCATGAAACCGATTCCTTGGTAAGATTACCCTTTCTGCTTCACACACTCAATTGAATCCAATTGATCTGGTACTTCTCCACATGTCTTAAAACACTCAGCAATCTCCCGCCACCGAGATCCACCTCACAGAAAAGCCGCAGAAATTCCGAACACCCCCGCAGGTCTTCTTTAGGCCCCACCCCGACCGATCAACCCCACCAAGGCCCTTCCCACGCGCTCGGCCAAGGCCCTTCAAAAGCCCTCGGACCTCTCCTGGGCGAAGAGGAGGCGCACCGCTCCCGCGCCGTTCTCCTTCGCCTCGCCGCGCCCTCCTGCGTCGAGGTTCGGTCCGGGGCACGTCCAACGGGCGGGTCCCAAGTCCGTGGGAGCCAATGAGGTCTTCCAGCTCGGTGGCCACGTGGGATTCGCCATGGAAATTCAGAACCGGGAGGGGGGTTCCAGTCTGCGCAAGTCTCGTCTCACCGCAAGTCTCGTCGCGCGACTGGTCATCGCCTGAAAAGTAGACGGGCTACCCTCATCGCTCTACCCTCATCCCATGACTCCTTTCAAGAGGTGGTTCACTACTGTACTGTATAATATATATATATATATTAGTTCAGAAAAAACGGATCTTTTGATCTTGATCAAATGCCCCCTAACCATTACCTTGGGTGAAAAACCTTCCTTCCAAGCCCATGGACTCAGAAAAAAGGCGCGTGGTCTGGGCACCAAAAACCTCCTCCATCGCACCTTCCCACAAATCCATCTCTCCTGGGCTCCACACACTCTCAGCTCCCTGTTGGGAGCCCAAGCGCCACGCGCGGCGCAAGCGCCGGGCGTGTGACAAGCCCGGGCGGCCCATGCGGCCATGGCGGAGACCCAACCAGTAGAGACCATCAGAAGGATGTGGTGCTGGTACCACTCCGCTGTACGACGGTGCAAAGCCTGCCAGGGTGGGACAACTACCACACATAAATGGGTTTTGATCAAAGTGGGCCAAAGAGGTTGGATCAACACCGCTCCCTCAACCACTGCATGGTTCTGCTGATCAACATGCTTTGGATTATGCCTTGCATAAAAAACAATTGAGAAAAGATTGAGTGAGTTCCCCATGTCCCTTGGACTAGCAACTTTGCTTTTCAGCTTGAGCCATGGTCGGCAGCCGTAAGGAGATCTTGGTTGTGAAGGAACATCAATGACAGAAAAAAAGCCTCCTACTACATCTCCTCATCCGATGCCGCACGGGTTTTCCATCCGAGTCCTCATACTTTGACAGCAAGTTGATCCCTTTATTTAACATTTGTCTTTTGAGATCTCAAGACACCTAAAGACCACAAACACACATATGTTCATTATGTTCAACCACACATGCTGGTGTCCTTAGACCTTGCTTCATGGACATCCCCCTTCGACACGAATGTTTGATATTGGTTTGCAGCTTTACCGCACCAGACCTGCAAACCAATGAGTGGACCCGTAAGTACCTACACAGCGCAGGTCTGCGGTAGCGAGGCGCACATCGGCGTGGTGATGGAGGCTGAGATGTTCACGCCTCTTCTGACGGCCTGGCCGATCAGCCGTCTTCACCCAGATCCTCAAACGTCCTTCCGAAACGTGCACCAATAATCCCTCAAACACCGAGAGCTTCCCTCCAACCGCCGAGTTTCAGGACGAAACACCCGAAACACCGGCATGGTGGCAGCGTCAGACCGGCCCCCGTTCGGCCGAAGCACCGAGCTTGCCGTCAACACGGCCTGGTTGCATGTTTTACCATCTTGAACTCGTCAGACGGACTCCAAAAGAAGGGAAGAGACCCGGGAGTGGAGCTGGTCTATGTCCCTTCTTCCAAGAAGATCGAGCTGGGAGCACCTCCCACCTGTCCAGGCAAAACGAGGAAAGGGGGATCCTCCGAGGCCGGCCCGAAGTCGAAGACGGCTGTGCTGTGCTGTGCTGGTTGGCTGATGTTAAGCCCCAAAGCAAGACGGCCTGACGGCCTCCAGAAAAAAAAAAGAAATAACAGTTTTGGGAGATCCCTTGACACACGCAAGTGCTAAAGGTGCTCTACTCCTCCAACTGGCTCTTCAACCAAGAGATTTCTCACAAAACAACTCGCCACCCCGAGTTTGGCACACCTCGTCCTCCTACCATTTCGGCGCCTTCAACCGCGGCGGCCTCTCTTTTCGTCCGTGAGTTCCCACTGTCCTCTCAGTGGGGATCCGTCCGAGCTTCGGCTCTTCGGCTCTTCGGCCGAACTAGCCAAAGAAGCCACCCGTCACTTCGCCCATCTGAAAGTTGAAGCCAATGTCACAACCTCGGGGAGGCTCCCGGCTCCCCGACGCGGCCGTGCACCGGACCTCCGGCGGGGCGACCCCCTCTCGAACGCCCCGATCGGTGGGACCCGCGAAGGTCCGAAACGTGCATCGCGAGGCGTAACCTACACACCCCAAGAAGGCCCCCCTTCTCCAGTGGTGGTTCCAAGGCGCGAATGGACACCCCCAGGCACCACTTGGTGGCACCCCCAGTCGCCACCAGGGGTCCAGCCGTCCAGACTTGGGGGGGCGGGGGCTGGGCCAACATCTCCCTGAACTCCCACAGCTCCAAAGGCGGCTCAGGGGACTTCCAAGCTTTCTGGGCAGATATGGGAAGTCATCCTCCTTCTCAAATCCTGGGCGCTCGAAAAGCTGGGACCTTTTTCATCTCCGACCTGCGGGTTAGGATGGTTGGTAGTGTTTGCGACTATAATACTGAACATCTGCCACACCTGAACTATGGCTGGGGTTGCACTTGTCAGCTGTATGTTTAAATGCTCTCAAGCCAAAGTGATGCTGGCGATGTTGCTGGGGGTCTGAGGAACTATCAGCACTTCGGTTCTCTGATTGTTAGGCATTGGAGTAATGTTGAAGTGTCCATCATAAGGAGTATTGTTTGGAAACAAGGGCAACGGGCCCAGCCTTCGAAGCGTCTCGACGCCCGGAAAAGAACCACTGAAGCATGCAAAGCACTGCTCGTCTCATGCTCATAGGCGCTATCTCAGCATCCTAAAACTCTCCTAGATCCCAATACGGATGCGTCTGCCAACAAACTGCAATAGCAAGCCATCTGCAAAGGCTCTGTAAAGCAAGTAGAGGAGCTTCGTCAAGCAGTTGTCGGGATTCACCACATTCACTACCTGTAGGCCCCCGCAGGGCGTTCGACTTGTTCGACGCCGGCACAACACCAAACCCCAAGGTGGTGGGTTTAGATGGATACAAAGCTATCTCAAGTGGTTGAACGGGGTTTGTGGCATCCACTCTGAACCGCTGCGGACGGCCTTGTGTGGACCCTCCCTCATGTCCAGCCACGCACGAAAAAAGGCCCATTTTGAGGGTTGCTCATGCAAAGCGTTTATTGAAGTTGATGACCACAACTATCGCAAAAACAGCATCAAAAATCACCTGCACGCTATAGCAGACCCAGCTCCAAGCTGTCATCTACACAGCTCATGAGCCAATCAAAATCAACAATCACAAGGACTTGGAGTTTCCCGTTTTCCCAGTGGGGTCGGGTCGCAGCCTTCTCCACATCTTCCCTTGTGCCTTGGAGTTCCAGCAGCGTGTTGGACAATCCCACCCCCAGAGCTCGCTCCGCCCGAGCAATCCCGCCCCCTGTTCCATGTCTTTTCTTCCGGGCGACACTGGCCACCAAGTTCCCCTCATGGCTCCGGATGCGCTTGGCCAAGGCAAAGGCCTTTGGAGAGTCCAAACGGTTACAGCGGGGCGAATGCACGTCTCGGACTGTGCCCAAGGATAGGATGTGGCCTAGGGCCCAGGCATCGCCTGACTCATAGGGCCATAGGGCTGTAAGCGTGAAATGGAAGTTCGTGAAAAAAGAATAAAGTATACTTACCAAAGGAGGATGGAAGCACATCCAGGTTACACCGACCTCACTTCAGCCGGCCTCTGACTCCAGACGTTGACCAAAAAAAATAAGAATCGATCTTAGAAAAAGAGATTATATATATATATACCGCCGGACTGAAAGTTAGAATGCCGTACCGGCTCCAGGGTGGAGGCTTAGAATGCGTGTCTCATTTTCCTACACTTAGAATGCCTGCACGGCCCCACAAATAGTAAAGATTTAGGGCGGCATTCTAACTGTCAGTCCGGCTAGAGTGTTTTGCATCAAATGAGCTCTATACAGTGATTGAATCATGTAAACACTATGTGTATGTATATATATATATTTCTCAAGTATATATAGATCTTCAATGGGAGATGAGTTCAATCATGGTGGAGATGGTGGATTCACAGGAGCTGGAAGAGGCGGCGGATCTGGATTTGACATGGTCTTTTTTCAAGACGGCATGCAACGTTTGCTGCATGGCGCCAGCTCAAATACCTAAATTTCCTTTTTTTGAGCCAAGGCACTAGGCAAAACACTTCAACAATTCATATATATTATATACAAATTAGCCCAGGTACGTCTCAATATTTGTTTAAGACACGTATCAGGTACGCCTCAATGTGCTGGGAGGCATTCTAAGTGGTAGCCGAAACCTAGACTCCCCACCCGGTGATAGGCATTCTAACTTTCAGTCCGGCGGTATATATATACATGAATCCCTGTTCAAAGGCCTTTCACAAGCCTGGAATCCAATGGAGAATTTCTATCCATCATGAATGATGTCTCTAATTGCAAAAAGGGCTCCAATTCGTGCACCTCCACAAGTTTCATCTCACCGTGTCTTCCCTCACCTGCACCACCTACCCCACCACCACCCGCCCGCGGTAGCGGTCCCCGCAGCCTTGGCCAAAATGGCTCTGGAGCGCCCACCGGAGGCTTGGTCCACCTCAGCCAGCTCCTCCTGAAGGTTCCCCACCGACCCTTTTTACCAAAGAACCAAAACGCAGGGTGCATCTCCCAAACTGACATGTTCTTATCAGCACCAGCCCTCCTGTTTTTGGGGGATCCGCTCGGCACCCCACTTCGCACCCCACTTCGCACCCCACTTCGCACCCCACTTCGCACCCCACAACCCCGACCCCCGGAGCTCCGACCCCCGGACTCCGCTCCGCGGTCCTGGGTGGGCCCTTTCGGCGTGTTGGGATCGTTGGGATCCAAGCGCTCCAGCGACAACAAGGCCGAGAGGTTCACGTGATCTCAGCACCGTCACAGGGCCGGTGGGACGGAGGTTCGGTGGGACGGAGTTCGTGTCTCAAAGAGGTCCTCCCTGGAAAACTCTTCTGCATGGAGTCATGGAGTCTGAGTCCAAGAGATGTTTTGTTCAAGAGGAGGATGGCCTGAGTTCTATCTGTTTTGGACTCACTGATGTCACTGTGTGGCTTCGAAGCCACGCAATGCGGTGGACAATTCACATCTTGCTAGGCCGTCCGCGTAGGATCTGTCAGTGGTTTCTGTGCAGTTTCACTGAGCACATGATCATGGAGGCTTCTCGATCTTGGTGAGGCCAGGAACATCGGAACATTGAACATGCTGATGTGACTCAGCATGAGAGAAAATAGGGAAGAATCACTGCTCCTATCCTTCATTCAAAAACAAAAGGATACAGGATACTTCCAAAAATAATACGCGTAAAGAACTTGTATACTCACGAGAACCATGGAGAGCCTGGTCCAAGGGCTAACCTGGGCTAAGGCTGGGAGGCTTCTCCTTCCCAAGGCACTCTCTTCGAGCTCACGCGAGTGCCGCTGGAGGAACTCGGTGGCTTCTAACACCTCCGGCCTCGGCTTCGGGACACGGTCGAACCTGCCCGGAAATGGATAGGTTTTTAGACCCATCCATGGGCCGCGGAGATGAGTGCATCTATATAGTGCCCTATCCTTGATGAAAAACCTCCAGTTTGGAAGCTGGTGGAAAGGTCATGAAAGGTCTATCTTTCTCTCGGGAGAGTGTAGCTGCAGACACTAAGGATCTCACCCATGCAGTAACTCCACAGATGGTCGTATCGTTGGCTTAAGGCATGCGGCATTCCCTTCCCCATCCGGAGATTTTCACTCAGACCAACACCTCTTTGGCATTAAAGCATGCCCAGTTCCAAAGCTGAAAGGCCAAGTGACGGGTGGGACAGACCTCTTCATCCCTGCTTTGCAGTTCACCAGCCCAACCAGCCCACGCGAACGACCCCAGGCTCCAAGCCACGCAGGCGAAGGCGGCGAAGCCTCCGCCTTCTCCACTGGATCGGGTGAGAGGTCACCTGCCCGAGTCTTCGCCGGATCAGGATCGGGTTTTCGTCGCGGATCCGGTGACGGTGCCAGAAAAGGCATCTCCTTTGAGGTTCCTCGATCCAGGGGGTCTTGCTTCCAAATCTCGATTGACACCACCAGAGCGGTGCTCCGGGGCGGCTGGGGGAGCTGAGCGCGTTGGTCTGGAAGGCCTCCACCACCAGCGGATCTGGCCCAAACACGCCAAAAGGCTGGGCGCCAGCTGCGGGGTCAGTGGTCTGAGTTCGTGGATGTTTCGAAAAACAGAACATGGTGGGGATAGGGTGGACTGATCGAGTCTCCCCAAAAAAATATTCGAGCGCTTTGACAGGGGAAAACCCTGAGTGTCTTTCCAAACAAAGCGAATCTGTCCACGACGTGGGCACTGTGGCAGCCGAAGACGCCCCAAAGCACAAGGGTCAGATCCTTGCCACCACGAAACCATCCATATTCCCAAATAGACCCCTTGTATCCTGTTCACTTGGCTCTGATATACCATCATATACCATCATATACCTACCTTCCTACCTTCTATGTAGCTCAATTCACCCCCCCCCTGCCACAGTCACCCCGGGGTCGTCCCAGTCTCCGCTGAGATCGATCCACCTCACCTTGCAGGTCGCTCAGACTCACCCAGGCCGCCCAGGTGGCTGGGAGCGACAGCAGCGAAATCCACCGCCCCAGCGCCATGAAACCTGGCGAACGTCCGTTGAAACGCCTGGCGAGTCGCCATTGGCTTAAATGCGTGGGTGGGTGGGTGTTCGATACGAGGAACAAACCTCTTAGTAGATCTGATTCACTCCAGGGGGGCCAGGAGTCAAGCCAAGAAACCTGCTGGCGCCACGGCGTACTACACAGGGAAATGGTTCCACATGAACCAAGGGCCTGAAAAAGAGACTGCCTTGAGCCTCCCGCAGCGGCGCGTCACAGGCGTAGTTGCCACACAGTCCATCTCGAGTAGGAGGTCAGTGATACCAGTCACAGCTGTCTCAGTACAGGTGCAGTGAGCAACAGGGACCTTGGTACCCTGTTTGGGACTCGAATTTCGAATCGAATTCCTCTCAAGAATCCTTGCCCACCATCTCACTATCTCACAACTCTTTCTGAAGGAAAAAACCTTTCTCCAGACCAAAGCACCTCCGTTCAGCACCCCTTCAAGCACCTCCGGAGCGCGTTTGAGCGCTCCGCGCTCCTCGCACCTCATCCCCCAGCTCGTGCAGCAGGAAACGGGCACGGGTGGGACCTGGGACGCCGAGGTGTCACACGACACCGCGCCACCCGCCCAGAAGCGCCCCGGCCGAACCCCACGGGGGTAGCGGTACGAGTACAGAGTACACCCCAACCAACCGTCTACGTACCGAAAAAGGGAAAAAAACTCATTGGCCAGCACATCTAAAAGTGAACCTTAGCCACCTAGCACCCATCTTTCAAGGTTGAAAGCAGTTTCTGAAGGCCTCGGGGGGAAGTCACTCATGCAAGCCACTCCAGGCCACCCCAGGGCACCGCACCATGGGTTTTCAAAACAGCTTCCAAGGATTCCAACCATTCGTCCGTCTCCTGCACAAAGACTGTCGGATCTGTGAGAGACTGGGTTTTTACCCCAATACCTCCGCACAAATAGAAGGATCGTTTTCATGTGTATGTTGGGACACAACTGCGAGAACCCTTTTTGAATCCGAAGCATGTTCAAAGGGAAGGGATGAGGAGGCAGGACTCGGGGACATCGGAGTCCTCCGTCTCCGCGAACCAAACAAAGGCCCCGCCAGAAGGTCTCTCGTTAGTCGGGGCCAGTCTCCGGTCACCATGTCAGCCGACATTCTCAAACCAAGAAATTCTTCAAGATGTTGGATTTCAAGAAAATCCCTCAGGTCTTCTCTCAAAAAGGCCTCTCTTTTGCATTCCTCACGGACTTTGAAGAGCGGAACTCAAATTCGTTTCCTCTCTTCCCGACAGACTCAGGCAGAACTGGTCTCTTCCGATTCTGGACGAGACGATCCATCTTCCGGATTCGAAGCAAGGACGGCAAGGGCATAGCTGTAGATGGGTGAAGACCGGACTCGTAACAAACAGCGCTAAAGATCACTTCAGACACCAAAGCCATTCCGACAGGTGTCTTGCAAGATGTTTACAGTATCAACTTCATTTCCACCTCAACCCGAACTATCGAAGTGACCCCGAAAAAGACTCAAGTCACCCCCCAGCAGCAGTCCGGACCTTGCGGCACTCGCACGTCGCCCCCTCCCGTCCCGAAAACGGACCCCAAAAACACCCGACAAAACCTGGACAAAAGCGCGCGCCATCCAATGATGGCTTCCCCCCCCGCAACCCCGGGTGCCTGCCCCCTTTCGAACGCTGGAGCGCCCCGCCGCGGGGCCTCCGGATCGAAGCGCGGTTGGACTCGCCGCAGCGAGGCCATGTTCGAGGGGTAGTGGCCTGCAGTGGCCCGGACCCGGTCGGACCGACCCCGTCGAAGGGGTGATGGGTGGGATTTGGGGGGGAAGAGGTGTCGTCAGAGGGGTGCGGAAGTGGGGAGGATGTTTGGGGAGGATGTTTGGGGCTGTCCTGGTTTCTTTCGTAGTTTGAAGAAGAAACAACTGTCCAGGATCTCATTTCCATGTCCATGATTATTATGTTTCAGGGCATCTAGGGCCTATGTGCAAAAACGATACTGCCCAACTGGACCAGACTGAATGCAAAAAACAAAAACAAAACTTCGCCCGCAGGGCACACAAACATGAGACAAGTGCATCATAATCGAGAAGGAGGTAAAGAATGAATGAGTTTTGTTTATATGACACTTGGGTTGTCCCTTAGGTGAAACAAAGCGCAACATCCCGTAGAGCAGAAAACAAACTAGAGTGTGGAAAAGATGTGAAAGCTAGAAAAGCAAGGATACAGTAAAGCAACACAAAGTCAAGACTGCAACCAAGGATTTTAGGCATTGAGACAGGGGAGCAGTTGGCAGTTCCAAGGTGTACAGGAAAAACGTCCTTCAATTCATCTCCTCGGCTGTGTTCCACGTCCTGGGCCTCCGAGCCCCTGTATTGATCCATAAAAGCTAAGGAGGCCGCAAACGCGGGCATCTGCGCGGAGACGATCATGGGATCGTGCGGAGGAGGGAGACGATCGGAAGGAGACGCCCTGACTTGAGGCGTAGAGGGGTGTAGTTGAAACTGGCTAGTAGTGTCTATAGAAATATCAAAACTTTAATTAAAATGTGTTTGTTTTGAATATAACAAATTTTCTTTCTAGCCAAAAAACGAGGTGGCTCTCAAAACCTCCCTCAAACATACCACTCGCTCCAAAAACGGAACATCCGAAGCACACCCCAACATCGCGGAGACGGCTCCTTTGCAGGCTTCCATGATGTCACGATTCCGCGACGCTTGTGGGAGCGCTTCTTGAAAACCAGGTCTTGATGCAGGGAGAACTAGGTCCACCAGAAACATCAGAAACATTCCTCCTCATCTGATCCCCAAGACATTGATCGCGCGAGGGTGGGAACGGATCCTCCCAACGGATCGGCGCTGAGCACCCGCATCGCTGAATGCGAATCGCTGACCACTGACCACCTCAAAGCCTAAACCCAGAACCTACCTGGAACAAGGGACGCTACTAGGTGCTCCTGGCCTTACTACCTGACCCGATGCCCACGGGGCATCTTGAAGCTCTTCAACTTGTGCATCACCGCCCCGCTCCCGCCCCACAGCTCCCCGCCTCACCGCGAAGAGTCTGAGTGAAGTCACCTGGCCGGTGGCCGTTCCACCTGGTTTCGGAACGCCGTTTCGTGTCCCCCCCGGCAAAAGTCGAACAAAGAGAGGACTCTGAAGTCCCTGAAGTACAGGCCGCTCCCTTTTCAGGTGATCCTTTTCAGACTGTGAACATTTAGAGTCTTGCACTCCCAAAGTTTGTGCATTCTCCGATTTAGAAAAAGCCAGCCGAAAAAGAACCATCCGTTGGCAATACAAACCCTCCCTCCTGAAAGGAACAGCCCTGGGAGCTCCAGTGAGCTTACTTGATCTCCGGCGATACCGTCCAAACAGTACTTGCTTGAACCTAGAAGATGAAACACCGTTGATGGACGTTTCTGATTTGAAGGTCGACCTCGCCAGAAACGACTGGTTTCTCAGTCCAAGAGCTCCACATGCCGCTCCCGTCATAGCCCGCACATGCCGGGAGCACTATATGAAATCTCACCCTGCTTCTTCGGGTCAAAATACTGGAACAAGGCCTGCGACCTGGGCGCGGGAGGAGACGGCGCAGTCCGTCGCGTTTCGCGTGAGGACCATAAACTGCACTATACCAGGACCCCCCATGACCCCCCCAAGGGGTGCCTATTGATAGCCCCTTGGAGGCTAAGGGGTACACCCCCTTGTGGGTCCTGGTACCTGAATCTACCTGATGTGTCTTGCTGTTCAAAACTTTCGCTGAGCAGATGGCGAATCCAAGCTGCGCGCCTTTGCCCACCGACCTGCCCGCCCAGCCCGCCGAGCCCTGGGTTCCCTTGCTCGGCGTCCTGCAACGACAGGCCAACCTGGAACGGCTGTAGAGTACGGCATCGGCGACTGTGACAGGGGCGGCCAAAACCAAAAATAATGACATCAGCCAGGAGTCATTTTTGGTCCCGTCCAGTGAGTGGATGTTCCCCTATCCTCCAAGTTCGGCCTCTGTGACTCCTGGGGATAGACAGGGCAAGATGTTGCCTGGTTTTGGTCGTAGATCCCACACAGGGCCCCAGTCACAAAGCCTACTATAAATTGAGTCCATCCCATTACCATTCTGCTGCGACTGCAACCTACAACCACTACCACTCCTGCACCACTCCCTCGGCTACTATGATTTCGTGCAGGCAGCACCACGACCTCCTTCCTTTTTCAACTCATCCACCACCCTGCAAAAACAGCTTTCTTCAGTTCTACTACACCTCCCTCGGTGCTGGTTTTTCTCCGCCCAGCCGGGCAAACCACCCTCCCGTCGTTGTGTCGTCCCGCCGTATCCATCAAGGCATGGAACTCATCGGAGCCTCGGCGACGGCTGTGAGCAATCCCTTCTCCCGCGAGAAAAGCTGCACCAACGTGGGCTCAAGCACGCGATGCTCAGAAGCTGAAACGGGGCTTCCCAGTGGATCTTCCATGACTCAAGAAACAGACGAAAAAAATGACTTCACAGGGAGTCCAAGAACGGTGCGTGTCCTTTCGTCGCTTGGTATGTTTGATTTATTATTGATTCTATTGCCCATACAGAATTCATAGCTTGACTGCAAGAGATACAGTCTTCCCATATCCATTCCGAACGACTATATTTAACTGTGCCAACACACAGTAGGCCAGCTCCCCAAAACATCAAGCTCAAACAATCTCACTCACCCCATGTTTCATTGATTCTTCGATCATTCATCGGACTTGATTCCAGGAATCCCCATGCCTGCTCAGCCAGGCAGAAACCCACGTTTCATCCGATGGAGCTCCCAAACCCGTCGGACCGCCGCTTCCGGTCTCGACCGAAGGCGCTGGACGTCCGCAGCCAGGGAGCCGATGCTTTTGGATCGATCTTTGTCCGCCAGAGCAAACCACTGGGCGAGTCGCGTCCGGTGTCTCCGGGAAGAACGAGGGTAAGTTTAGATTCGTAAAGGAGACAGGGCCAGAAACATGCCAGATCCAGATACAAACTCTTGAGCCAAACTGATAAGCATTGTTGGACCATACTGTACTTGGCCTGGATCAACAAGCCCCAGGACCCCCTGTCTCAGAGTTAAGCCGCTCAGTGAAAACTCGGCCAAAGGCGTAGACTGAATGAAAACCATCCTTCGGGGGAGGAAGAAGTTCTAGGTCCTCAACTCCACGATGGTCCTGAAACATCTGCACCACACTCCTTGACACTCAACCACCTTCAGGGATGCCTGTGTCGCCTCTTCACAGAGAGGTCCGATGTGTTGCCACTTCGCCAGCCCCTCCAACCCGTCGTCGGAACATAAAGCCCCGTTCGCCTCGTTCGAGAGCTGCTGAACCCCTGCAATGCTGCCCTCACCCTGCCGAAGTGCCAAAGAGGGGGGCGGGGGGCGGTCAGCAAGGGGCCAGATTCAAAGCGCAAGCTTTTCTTGGGGTGGCTCAAGCCATAATCATCTTCGTTCAAACAAATGGAATTTGGTTGTCAGCATGATTCCCAGATTGAATGGCACGATGTTTTACACGGCAATACAAGCTTTTGGTCCAGCTTGGTGGCATGCTCTGACACCCTCAAGCTTGAACAAATCTGCCCCTACTAGTAATGCAGCACTCCAACTTTTGGAAGTCTTTGCTCCCAGAACGACCGTCGTTCGCAAGCTGCCCAGAAGTTTCTTCGTTCAGACCCGCTAGCAAGGGTTCGTGAAGCTGCACACCAGAAGACCCGCTGAGATCACATCGCGACCCTTCAACTTGACGCCATCGACCGATTGTTCGAAGTCACAGCAGCCGTTGTCAGCGATGCACTTGGCGGCTGATTCGACCATGGTGCAACCAGTGCCGCTCAACCCATTGCCACAGTCGTTCATGCCTTGCTCATTGCAGCCACAGCCTTGTAAGGCAACACTGAGCAAACCAAAGAGGAAGAACAGGGCCTTCTTTGCCCAAACCTGCATACTGAGAACGGAACTTCTGGCGCAGACCTGGTGGGAGAAGGGCTTCTTGGAGCTTTGACGAACTCTTCTTGAGCCAAAACATCAAATCAGCAAAGAGGAAGCCTGTCTTCCGAAGGCAATCAACACCACGTCCCACCAGTCCGGTGGAGCTCCTTCTCCACCTCACCTGGTGGAGTTTCCCCATTCCAACTACCCCAAAAATGGTTCACCACACCGGTTCACGACCCGGTTCACGGGTCCGGTTGCGCCTTGGTGAGGAGCACGCGTCGCAGCTCGGTCAAGAGCTCCTCCGGGCTGCGACTCACGGTGCTGCCGGCCTCGGGCAAAGCCAGGGGACACTCGGGAGTGTGAAGCCGCATATGTGGCGTGGCGGAAAATGCAGGGAGGGGCGGGAGAGGCATTCAAGCTGCAAACCCTGCAAAACGCCTGGGTGGGAGAATGTAAGAATGTTTTGGTGAGTGGAGCTCTTGAGCTTTTGATATCATTGATACCTCAGAAAAGTCCTTCCACCACATTGAGACTGGCGGGTGAGGCAAACCTGAGGACGACCAAATCACCAGCGACAACGGCCCAAAGTCAGGGGAAGAATGAATTGATCGTTCTTCAAGTGCTGTGGCATGCTTTCATTTCTGAGGCAAGTGTGAACCACTCATTTTTTACTGCCTGGTGAAGGTGAAGTGAACAAAGTGTCTTGTTGCGAACAGGAATATCCAATACATGCTGGGGCTGCGGATGGCGTGATGTTCAAACAATCCACACAGCATCCTTTTTTAAGCAAATTCGGAAGCAGGTAGCATGAGCCCCGCGAGACTTCGAGGTCCTCCAAGCGGCACGAAATCGGATGCCCGGACTGTAACAGCGGACCTCAGGGACACGTTTCGGCAACGAAACCCCACAGTGGCTCCGGTTTTCTCCGGATGGTCAACACTATACAACCTGAATGACCTCTATTTTGCAAAATGGTTCTTCCCCATCAAAACGGAGGTCCAATGGGTTCCAGGTCGGATGCGTTCTCCGCGTCGTGGCAAACCCCGACAGGTCCAGACCGCGGTCGGAAACCGGACGGTCGCGGAATCGGGGATGGCCAAGTGAGACCCAATCCGAGGCCAACCAGGTCATGGCGCCGAAGGAGGTCATCTGGCACCGAATGGCCCACCGAGTTCGTGAATGGCACCACCTGTTTGGTTGGACAATCGTCATCATGGTCATCCGAAATCAGGACCCATGCCATCCACGTAACCCTTCTCCTCCTGGTTCTTCAAAGTGACCCCTTTTTTCGATCACCGTTGGAGATCACTTGGGCCTGTCAAAGGTCCCTTAGGCACTCCAAAGAGGTCACTTCTGCACGAAGCTCCTCCTCTTTTCAGTGACGAAGCTCCTCCCCCCGCGCCGTCCAAGTCGACGCTCCGAGGCCCCCGGACGACCTGGCTCCTCCGGAGCTGGGCGAACGCCCTCGGCCAGCGCCACGCCATCGAACCACCGGCGGTGGAGGCCTCCGACCACGTCGTGGCACGTCAGAGGAGCGGTGCAGGCGATGCGGTGATGGCTTCCAGGGAGTCCTGATTGACCCTTTGGGAGAACGAGCATGTCATGTGTCCCCCTCCTTTGGCCTCGAATGTTCGGAGAACCCATCCGAACTCCACGCGGCGACGACCGTCGGGCTGTCCCCCGCAGGGAGCTTGTCCGCTTGTCCCTCCCGGTCGCGCCTTTGCTCAAGAGCTCCAGGCCGCGGCCGGCGTGTGCGCACACGCCCCGCCCCAAACGCTGGAGCCTGCATCCAAGTCGTTTGGAAATCATATGCCTATCTTTGCTAGCACATCCGCGGCAATCAACGGCCCCCCCATCAGGGCTGGTTGCAAACCCAGGTGTTTGACGGGTTTTAAAGGGTTGCCGCCCCCCAAGTGATTCCAAGGTTGCTTCCCGTCAGAGGTCCATCTTACAACGTTGACAGTGGGCATGGCTTTGTGAAATGGAGGCCCAAAAACCTTCGTCCACCCAGTCAACCGCCCAAACGCTCAAATGCAGCGCCCCCCCTTTTTGCCCAATCCACCGTGCCTCGGGCATCATCTTCAGTGAAACTGGTCGCCCCATGACGAAAGGATCCATGATGCCCAGCACAAGAACTGCCATGTTGGCTAGATATCATGCTAACTTCCATGATATCATGGCAAACCAGAAACGAAACAATCCATTATTCATCAATCTTGTTTCAGGAAACTCAGATCCCTCCTCATCTCAGCGGGAAAAAAAAAGAAACACTAGGTGCTGAGGACATCAAGGTCCATCGTATCACATCAAGTGCCGCCTCGCCTGCGGCACAGGTGCAAACCTTTTGTGTTTACTTTACTGAAATGGATTGCAAACACCCCTGCAAACTAATCTGACATTCATAACAAGCCATCACAACGTTAAAGCAAAAGAATGCAAAATCTATATATATTTGGACACGATCTTCCTCTGGAAATGTTTATATCAAAAGGACCACAATCCAACAAGTGAATTCCGGAATTCCCCTCAAGAGCCGAAGATTCGCCCAAATCCTCGTGAAGGTGTATGGAGGGAGGAGCATCTCCATCCTGTTTGGGGGGGATCTGTGGCCACCCAGCACCATGCAGGTCTGTTCGAAGTGCCTTTCATTCCGCTTGACGTGTAAAGGTCTTGCCCGACCTGAGCGGCTGGACTGCCCAGCGAGCCGTGGGGCGAGCCGTGGGCGGCAGAACGGCCAACTGAACCAATTCATCCGTTCCCGCGGGAAATGCAACCACCATTCAAACCATGCGTGGTGTTTCTGCACGGTCTGCGCATCGTTCGCGGAAGAGTTCACGTTGCAATTTGTCGCAAGAGACGCAAGAAGGTACTCACCCCGAGTACTCATCGGCTGAAAGGACTGGACGAGGCTGAGTGCTGCACAGCTGCTGGAAAAGCGACGATCGACCGTTGGATACTCCCACCAGGTGCGGCCTACTTGGAGACAAGTACGCAAGGTGATACTCCCAAGGTGGTACCTACTTCCCAGAACAGGATCTGAAGCGACATCATCCCTTCCAGGTGCGGCCCTGCTTGGAAGGTCCCCCCCCTCGGAAGGTTTTGGGCGAAGGTCCGGGCATTGACAGCTCGGGACTCATCCGAGAGCTGGGACCCGAGCATCCGGCTCTTTCCGATCCGAGCTGAAAAGACCGCTTACATCCGGAGACTCTTTGACCCAAAAACGGCCGAACTTGTGCCAACTATGCACGTGGTAAGCTTGACTCAGCTTGGTTTGCTGAGTTTCTTCCGGCTTTGGGCTACAGCCGCCGAGTTCTCTGAGTCCCCGAGCTGACGGTCGACAAGACGTTGCGATCGAAGCGATCTTGGACGCTGCGGCGGCCTGGCGAGCGCGATCCGAGCCCCGCGCGGATCGCAAGCGCACACTGCTTTGTGCTCATGGCCGTCGAAGACGTTTCTTGGGAAGGAGGGAGGAAGGAAAGAGGGAGGGAAGGAGGGAAGGTCCACTCCTACTTAGTGTCCTTTATGCAGTCTGTGGAAGCAGATATAGCCGTACTGCCCTCAGCAGCGCTTGCAGCTCAACATGGCATTGCGCACGTTTCCGGCGGCTGAAGAGCTCCTGAAAGCACCAGCGCTGTCCACCACGCGTGAAGGAAGAGGAAGTGTTCTTTCAATTTCTGAAGTGAGGTCTCCAAACCTTAAAAAAGGCAAACACAACCGATGTCCTAAACATGATTGAGGGGTATTCGCTGTTTCATTCGTTTGGAGATCACTATTTGAGATCCAAGAACATTCTCCTATAGAGCCAAACTGCCAAAAAGCAAGGGCTGCATGCTGGAACAGGGGTAACCACTGTCAAACCTCACCAGCTAGCGCGAGCTTCCCCCAATCCTTTTTGAGAAGGTTCCGTCATCCAAGAGTGACGTCACACCGCTGTGGCATCGGAAGCGCTCCTCGCTCCAGAAGGCCACCGCATCAAGCTTCGCGGGCTCCTCCAGTCGCCGTTCAGCGACGTTGAAAGGGATTTCAGGTCATCAAGGAAGTCTTTGTTCAAGTTCCACGTGGGAAAGGAACTTGGAACTTGAGCTTTGCTGGGCCAGACCACTGGCGCGTTCAGCGCACTAGGTCTCCTTCTGCGCACCATCTTGCAAGAGCGTCACGCCATCTTTCTCCACCCTGGCCAACACCGGCAGTTGGTTGGGTGACCACTTACGCAACGGGCTGCCCCAGTGCCCCCACAGCACGCCCCACAGCACGCTCCAGCTCCAGTGCGGCGCCTCCGGCGCGCCGAGGCGCGGCGCCGTCGCTGCTCGGTCTGCTGCTGCAAGAGCTGCAAAAGCTCCTTGGAACTCGCAGTCTCTAAACGCCTGGAACACCAAAAACATCAATCCAGGCGTTTAGAATGTCTTGCCACTTTCTATCTCACAACCAGTGACCAGTGGGAAGCTGAGGCTGCTCGTGGTGTTTGGATTCCAGGACTCATTGAATTCGGGAAGCAGAATTGCAGGACGCCCTTCGGATACTGGGGGATGCTGGGGGAGTCTTTCGATAGAGCCCCCCATGTCTCTTGCCACCGGGGTTTTCACGTCGCCTGATTGGCCGGATCTTCCCAAACGTATTTGGCCGCCGGCTCTTCCCCTGGCGAAGGCCACGAATGGGATTCCCACGGCCGGCCGAGGAGGAGACACGAATGGCTGCCCTCGCGCGAAGGATGGGGGGGAACTTGGAGGCCAGAGCATCCGTGCCTCCCTTCTTGCGCTTCGCTTTCGGCCTCTCCTGCAGGCGGTCTGCAAAACAATGAGACACCAGCAGCCTGAGCTGCTGTTGTGGAAGTTTCTTCTTGGGCACATTGGGAGTGTGGAACTTGGGCCACCGAACTTTCTTCTCTCCGACTGGGCACCCAATCCAAAACCGCGTCTCTTCGGCTTGGCCATGCTTCGCCCATCCTCTTCTGTCAGAGAAAGACCTGGTTTTCACCCAGTCGGAGGACCCGGCCTTCGACCGGAACGCCCTCC